TAAACTCGAGAATGTTGGAAGGGGTTGCCAAGCTGCATCAGTGCCTCAGAGCTGCATTTGAGCTGTCCCAGGTCCATGGAGAAGCTCACCCTCAGACTTAACCTCACTGAAAGTCTTTCCCCCTCTAAAGCATTGTGAAATGCTTAAACTCAACGGCTCTGGCCCTTGGCCATTGCCTCCTTAAGTCCAAGCTAGCTCTTGCACTGCGGTCAAATGCTTCTTCGTCCTGGTGGGAAATTGGAGCCCTGTGGTGATGGGATTCTGGGCACAGGAGGAGACAGTAACCTCAGCTAGCCCCTGCGCACCTTTGGCTGCAGGATTTACCTGTGTTACCTTAACGCGTGAGGCTCCATCCTTGCCCTGATCCTGCTTCACGCTGGGCTGGTTTGCACTGCAGCTGCCACGCAGGACAGGTGAAGTGTGCATGGAGGCTATGTGACAAGGAAATGCCGGTCTGCTGGCACTCGTGAGGTAAAGCGTCGAGTCTGAGAGCTTCAACCTTTAAGTGTTGGACTATGTCTCCTGGTTACCACCTTTTTTCCCTTTAGCATTTCCAGCTGCGCTGCAGCTGTTAAACCCATAGAAGCGTGAAACCTGGGGCTCCTACGTCTCTGGCCTAACGTGGGCCCTGAAGAGTGGGGTAGGAGGAAGCAGGGTCTCAACTCTCAGAGGATGCTCTCTGGGTCTGTGGTAGGAACAGAGGATTCATGCCAGCCCTGATGCCACCACATCCCTCGTGTCCCAGGCGTTAAGCTGGGTTTCTTTACAACGGCACTGGCTTTGTCCTGCAGGACCGGGCAGCGGTCAGGGGCTGGGCAGGGACCGCGAACGAGCCGGGGGCCTCTTCTTTTTTTTTTCGCGTGCTGTGGGCAAAGCCGGGAGTGCCCCCCCAGGGCTCCCTGCGGCTCCGGCTCCCTGCGGTTTGGCTTTGGTGAGAGCTCAGGGCGGGGACCCTCCCGTGGCCACTCCGGAGAACTGCACGGGAGCCTCCGTGAAAGGAACAACCGCAGGGTTTCATAAACTCAGCACTGGAATTCAGGTCTATTAGAGCTGCTCCCACATCTGAATAAGCTTCAAGGAGTCTGTAGATCTCGTCAGGCTCCACTCCGTATAAAGACCATGCTCAGGTCCCTGTTCACACTGTAGAAGAGGGCAAGAGGCTGTCTTGTGTACAGGGCCATGTTTAATGAGAGGTAATGAATGTCAGGCAGGGAGTTTTCTCCAACAAAACTCCTAGAAAAGATGCAAATTCATCTCCTACCCATAGGTATGTATCAGGGAGAAGGAGCTGGCATGGGGGAGAAGATGATAGAGATGGACCATGACAACACCTCCATCCCTGGCAATGTGAGAGGACTCTCTGGCCTGCCTCATCTTCCTCCCTTCTCTTTTAGGTCAAGGAGAAGTGGAAGGGTTTTTCAGCACAATTTGCTGCCTCTATAACAGGGTGCAGAGGCCTATCAGCAAATTCAGAAATCTTACACGCCTCTAAGATCTCCCCCCACCACCCACCACACTTTATAATGTATTTTCTCCCCGATGTCCCCCTGCCAATGCTATACATACCTCAGCCTTTCCCGCTGAACCCAAAACAACTTCCCCCAGACCCAAGAGCAGGCTGCGGTGAGGGGGCAGGAAGGGAGGGGGCCCTGACCTTGTTTGACTTTGGCTTGTGGCCTAACGTCTGTTGTTCTTTTCCATACCTTTCTCCACCTCCCTGCCGCGTGCCACGCCATCCCTGCTCCCCCACCCCCTGTTTTGTGCCCCACTTTCCAGAGGAAGTGGTTTCTGCGGTAGAGCATAGAGCAGCATCAAAATGTGACCCAGATCTCGATTGTGGCGTCATGGAACTGGCGCTGCGGCCTCCTCTTGCCCCACCTGGGCCACAAGACCCCTTCCACATCCTGCCCTACCATGTTATTTCCTGCCTTTGCTTTGCACTGCAGTTTTTCTTTCTCAAAATAAACAACAAAGTACAATGGGAGAGGGGGAGGGGGCACATTGTGGCAGTGGAAAACTGAAAGCCCAATATCTGAAAGTGTCTGAACTAGACCTACAAACGCGGTGTTTTGCAGATCACAGCCTAAGAGTCACTTTGGTCAAAACATTTAACTTTAGCTGTACGCTCATCCCCTCACTCTGCAAATCTTATCACTGGGGTCGTTTAGCCTGGAAGAGACTGAGATGTGGAAACAGAGGCCGCACGCCTTCCTTCTTGACCGTGCTGCTGGGAGTGGGTTTGAAGTGCAACACAAAAAATTTAAGATGGATATTAATTTTAAAAAATGATGTTAAAGGTAAATGAGCACGGGAACTTTTCTTCCACATCCTTGAAGGGTGGCACATGGAATGAGGTTAATCAGTTGGAAATGTATGAAATGCAATGACTTGCTTTGTGTTTCAAATATGGTTTAGGCAGCTTCATCAAGCTGTCCCCTTGTGGTGTGGCAGACCTCATCGTAAGCAAAATGTAAGCTTCAAGAGCTGCCTGGAAACCAGCATTTAAAGAGCTGTGGGCCTTCTGCAGCTGGAGAGAAATGAGAATGGCTATTGTGCCAAGGGACAGACAAGAGAATGAGTCCCAGAACATCTGTGCTACAAAATAATCAGGGTAATGGACCAGGGAAGTTTGGAGCTGTTGCTTGGCAGGAGGGGTCAGTAACTCTGTCACCCTGTGACAGGCCACCAGTGAAATGGTCGGGCGGCAGCACCATGGCAGGACGCCAGGGAGAACTTGTTGTGTTGCTGCTCAGCACTGTGGGGTCAGATACTCTGGCGGGAGTGCTGGCATGGCCTTCACATGGCGACCCTCTCCCACATGAAGCACCAGGGCTTTTGGCTAAAAGCATTTGAAGCATGAGCCTTTCCAAACCCAGAGTTCCTTGCAATGGCTGTGAATCCAGCAGGGTGAGAAATACCCTGTGAGCAGGAGTCACCCCCACCAGTCTGGAGAGGCTTTCCTTGCTGCTCAGTTTGGGCACCGGTGTGAGGAACAAGCACAGCTCAAGCTTTGCAGGGAGGGTGTGTTTCTTTCAGAGCATCCTTTTTATTTTTCTCTGCAGGGGAATCTCTGGTGCTTCAGAAGAAGACAGAGAAATCGATGTCACAAATGGAGAAAATTTCCTTTCCAGTCTTGCTAGGGACAGGCTGAACCCAGAGATGCGAGCTGATTGTCTGGTGCCATTAATGCAAAGCAGGTACCTTGTTCTCCGGTGGCACTTGGGAGCTGGGGGCATTTAGAGGCACCTCAGGCTCCTGCACTCCCCATTCTACTGCTGAGTAGACGTCTGCCTTCAAGAACCTGGACTGCTTGCTAGTCCTCTCACTCTGGGCAAGCCATGTTTTACCATTGTCCTCACATAGCAGAGTCTACTTGAGGAGCTCTCCTCCATTCCCCTCCCTCCAAGCCAGCCTCGCTGTCCTCACCCAGGCACAGCAAGAATGTCCTGGAAAGGGACTTTGTAGCCGTTCCCCACCTCACCATGGTGAATCCAGGCAGTTACTGCATACAGCACCTGGTAGCCAAGTCAGGCTGAAGAGGAGGGTCTGGATGCCCTTTCCCTCCTTCACCCCAAAGGCCAGGCTCCTTCCTAAAGCTCATCTGAAGAGTACAGCAAGTTCCTCAAGCTACAGAGACAAGAGACAGACAAGTTCCTTATTTTTTATAATAATTGTTTAATAGCAGCCAAAGGCCTAAAGAAATGCCAAGACATCAGTGTGGTTGCCAGTACAACTCAAGAATTAGCAGTGTGTGAATGTCACGTGTATGCACTGGTTCCAATGCATGCACACACAAGCAGGGAAATAGCTCAGTGCAGCTTTACACATTAATTATAAAAAGAAATGGGGAAATCTAAGGTTGTTAGAACCAAACAAAAAGAACAACAATAGTTTGTGTTTTTACTAAACGCAAAGCCAACTCTTAAGCTGGTTTAAATTCAGAAAATGTAAAGACCAGATAGACTTTTAAAAACACTAAAAAAATTCTTTCACTCTGTGATAATGAAGCGAGAATTTCACTGAATTCAGGACTTCTAGGAGAGACCTAGCAGTGTATCTGCTAGGGAAAAAAAAAAGATACCTTGCTCTGATCTAGCAGATGACAGCAGGGCATGGCCCATAGCACCCTGAGTGAACCTTCCTCCTCTTCTCAGTGTTTCGTTTGCAACTGAAATGGTGCCTGGGGGGCTGCACTCTAAGATATGACACTTGAAAGCCACCAAAATATGAAAAAAGCACATTCAAGTGGTATTTAGCTTGCAGGTTTCAACAAATACTGCCCCACACAGAAATCGTGAGTCAGTTTAACGCACGGAATAGTGATGTTTGGCAATTTGTAGTTACAGCGAACTGTGCTTCATGCAAAGAGAGGCATGGTCACGCTAAATGAGTCGGGCATCTGGGAGAGCAGAACGTTGGAAATTTTAAGCTTAGTTTTGAGTAGCTTTATAAAAATGCGAATAAAGCAATTTAGACTATAATGGCTGGCGTGATACAGAGCAACAGCAAGCGCT